TGTGTGTGTGTGTGTGTGTGTGTGTGTGTGTGTGTGTGTGACAAAGGGCAAAAAGCCAAGCTTTTCGCCTGGCCATGGGAGTGGCACCCCCTCCCTCTCCTTCCCCCTCACTCCCACCCCGTCTTAGCCGGGCCCTCACCTTCACATCTTCCCACCGCTCCTTGTCTTCCTTCAGGACCCGGCTGGTGTGCAGGGGGGTTTGAGGGACCTTCGTTGATTGCTGGAGAAGAGAGAGGTCCCAGTGAAGCCCCAAGGCAAGCAGCATCACGGCTGAGCCGCCTGCCCAGGCACAGAGCACTGGCCCCAGTCCCACCGCCTGGCTGGGCTCACCATGATCCAGGGATGGTTCATGAACTCCGTGATGGTCATCCGCTGAGTGGGCTCCGTCTTCAGCAGGTTCCGGATGAGCATCTTCACTGCGGGGTGGGGCCGGAGTGTCAGAACTCAGTTTGGGGGCTACTTCCCCTGTCCTGCTCCTTCCCCATTTTCAGTGTTCAGCTCAAGGTGGGGATGGCAGGGAAGCAGACTGCCAGAGGCACTGGGCCCAGTGTCTCCTCAGAGCCGGGCTGCTGGTGGTAAGGCCCACACCCACCCACCCAGCCCTGAGGGAGGCCCGGCACATAAGCACGATGCACCCAACAGGGGTAGGCATGGGTGCAGACCTACATCTCTACTCCCCAGGTGAGATGGCTGCCCACCTGCACACAGCAGGCACGTGCGCACACAGACACACAGGGACCCTGACCCCCAGCCCACACTGCTGGCCCCTTACCTTCTTCTGATACTTCTGACCACTCCGGGTTGGGGAATTCATACTGGCCCATTCGGATGCGACTCTTCATACCCGGAGAGATTGCGAGGCCATGGTTGGAGTAGAAAGGGGGGTACCCACACAGCCTGGGGCCAGAGAGGATGAGGCAGAGTGGTGGTGTTTAGGGGATGTGCATCAGCAGGCTCCCCTTCTGGTGGGGGTTACCAAGGTGTCGGGACTCCTTGAGTCAGTCACAACTTGCACGGTCAAGGACAGCCTCAGGGAGCCCACCAGTAAGTGCCCTGCCCACCAGTGAGTTAGCAAGATCCTGTAAGCACCGAGAAAGGGGGTGTGCAGGGGATTCCCAGGGGCACCCCCATCCAAAAGGGGATGCTAGCATTTGCTTCTTCCTCTCCTTCGGGAGAGGTACAGCCCTTCTCCTGCCCAGCCGCCACACACTCACAGGATGTACATGATGACACCCAGGGACCACATGTCACAGGACTTGTCATACTTCTCTGGGCCCAGCACTTCCGGAGCTGCAAACCAAAGTCAGCGTGGTGGGCTTGCTGGCCCTCGGCCCACCGGGAGCTTCCCCAGGTCCTCCTTCAGCAATGGGGCGGTAGGGGCTGGAGCAGCCCGAGCCCAACCTCGGGGCTAGAGAGGGAGGGAGACAGAGAACCCTCCTCTAAAGGGGGCCCCAAGGGTGAGACTCTAATCTAACACCCTGAGCCGCAAGCCTCAGACTCGGCCATCCATTTAACCGCGCAACAGCTGAGGCTCCGGAGTGACTCTGGGCCCGGACTCTGCGGACACCCAATGGAGGTGGTCCCGGCTCTGTCTGCACCCGGACACCACTGATGACACTGATGAGGACCGAGCACCGAATCAGCCTGTACAACTCCCCGGGGAACCCCCCCCCCCCCGACTCTCCACCCAAGACACTCCATGATCGCAGTCTGCTCCGCACTTACCCACATAGTACGGTGTGTAACAAGGAGTGGTCAGAGAGTTGTGGCTGGTGGTTTCCTTGGCGAAGCCAAAATCCGTGAGCTTCAAGATGGTGTTGGGCCTCTTAGAGGTGTACAAGAGATTCTCGGGCTGGGGGGAGGGGATTGGGGTGGGGGTATTGTTATTGTCAACTGATAGAGGACCACCCTATGGAGCCGGAAGAGCCATGGTCCAGTCATCTGGCAACCCCGTCTGGTGTCTATGGTCTGCGCACTAGTGTCAGCACCATGGGACTGGCTCCCGCCTTCGGTGCCCTGTGTGCTCACAGAAACAGCCACAACACGGCAGGGACAGGGAAACCAGGCTGCATGTGGGGCACTGGCTGAGGCGAACCACAGGGCTGACTGTGGCCAGGGAGGCTTCACTACTAGGTCTGTGGGTTTGCCCAAGGGCAGGCAGTGCACCAGGCAGCAACAGCAACCCTCCTTGAGGTCACCCGGCCCTGCCCCCAAGAGTTTCTCCCTCCCACCCGCCCACCGCCCGGGCCCGGCCCCCAAGCCTGGGTGTGCAGAGCTGGTACCTTGACATCCCGGTGAGCGATGTTGATTGAGTGCAAATACTGGATGGCCTCCCCGATGCTCTTCATGATTTCTGACGCTTCTACGGAGAGGAGCAGCCATGGGGCACTTCGCTGGAACTCTCCAGAGAGACAGCCGGTGGCTCTCCACACCCACCACCCACCCCAAACCAAAGACGTGGGGGTGCTATCCTGGCCTTGTTGAGGCCGACACCCATGGAAGCCCTGTGAACACTCAGGCAGGCTGCCCACCCGAGGCCCACCCCAGCAGGCTTGCCTACCTCTCTCAGTGAACGCTTGGTCTCCACGGTCTTGGATGCGGCTGAAGAGTTCTCCACCGTCCAAACTGAAACAAAGCCACAGTGCCACGTGGGCCAGTGCCCCCTCTCATCCCACGCACGCTCCCCTGCTAGCCACGGCTCCGTGCCCCAGGGCCAACCCCAGGCTGCACACTGAGGATGCCCCAGAATTCCCCGGGCAGGGTGGACAGGGCTGCTCACCACTCCATGACGATCAGCAGGCACTTGCGCCCCGCGTACAGGTTCTCGTAGACATCCACGATGCGGACGATGTGCGGGCACTGAGATGCCCGCCAGTGCAGCTCCACCTCCCTGCGTGCCTTCGGGCAGTCCTGGAGCATCTACAAGACAAGCAGCCTCCTCAGACCTGG